TACAAGGATATGATTTAAGTTGTAGTAAAGAATTATACTAGCCTAGAAAATTGTTAGTAGTAAATTCTGTTCTAAGATCCATGACCCCTCTAGCTCTAGGAAACTGGTTAGATTTGCAGCACCAGGTATTATTTCTCTTCTGTTTAGTGATCCTTGAGTAAAGGTGTAACAGATAGCATGTACATGTCAACGGTAACCAACAGCTATCCAACTGAACTAAAGGCAGATTTCTGTGTTTGAATTGCTTTCATATTCTTTGTTTGTTTGGTCTAGTTCCTGTACTTTATCTTAGATCATAATATTTTATCTTCTCTTTGATTCATTTTGTTTATGGGGCTTTCCCTTGAGTTTTCTGGTTCAGTTATTGAGTTTTTCAATTCCATCTTCATTTCAGCTTGAGTTCACTTCAATGTTTCTACATATTTATTGAATTCCATCTTCAAATCTTAGGTTGTCTTCATGATTTCCTTCAGCCTTTGGTTTGTGTTGCTGGAAGGGGACATCACCCGAACATTTAGCTCACTGAGTTGTTTGTCTTCTTTAAACTTGAATTCTTTGGTCTTCTTATTGTTCTTTTAAATTTTGTGTCCTGAGGTTCATATAGGTAATTATCGTTGTCAGACATTTCTTTAGGACTAATGGATTTATGGAAGGAAATACTCTCTTGATCTTAAACACTGTAGTTTTGTGATGAAATCTGTACATGTGGACTTTTTTATTTGTTCAGTGTCTGATGGGTTGGAGCAGAGCATGGGATGTGTGGGTCAGGTTAGGCCAAAGGTGATATATGGCTTAGGTAGAGAGAAGTCAGGTGGTTTCAAGGGGCTGAGCTGGCACACAGGATGTGTGTCATGCTCCAAGCCTGGGGTATAGCAGTAGATCTGGATGTCAGGGAGTGTCCTTGGAGGGAGGGAATCAGGCAAGCTTACCCACTTAGTTCCTGTCACAAGATGTGCAGGACCTGATTTGGTGGAAAGATTGCATGTAGTACACAAGGTTCCTGTAGCTTGTGGGAATATGGGTCCTAGCTAAAGCCTGGAGATTTAGCGCAAGCAAAGCTGTCCAGACTAGGCTCAGGCACTGGCTATGAGATGCTGAATGTATCTTGAGCACACAGGAATGTGAGCAGAGGGGATAATTAGGTAGAGTCACCTATCTGGATGCTGGCACAATATATGGAGAACCTGGGGTAGAGAGGTTGGATATGATACAGCAAGGGTTTGTGGGTGGACTGTGGGGTCCTGGCCAGAGCTTGAAATGGGAACAATGAAAAAAGAGGTTGCCAGAGGAGACTGGAGCACTGAATTTAGAGCCCAGTTTAGGTGTGTGGTACAGGCATACTCTTCAAACTCACACTTACCTGCCACATCCAACGTCAGTATTCAGACAATGGTATTGTGTAATAGTTTTCTCACATCTTACCATCGTAAAATGGGTATAATAGGTACAGGATATAATTATCTGAACAATAAAATATTTAATTTGAAAATTATATGTTGACCATTTAATGGAAATAGAAGTCTTACATTTGTTTCTTGCAATAACATGTTTCCATTAAAAGTGCTCTGAATGCACAAAACCAAAAATATTTCAGATCTACAAATGTGTATTAGTCTTACTGTGTGTTGAGTTTTGTTTGTTTGTTTGTTTTGGTATCCCCAAGAAATTCAGACACCGTAACGTCGGGAAGCAAGAAATGTTCATTTAATTATGTTTAAATTATATGCTAAAACAACATGTCTTAAGAAATCAGCAATAACACTTAAAATGTATTGGAGACATTTTGTCTGCATCATGCTACAGGCAAAACCTAAGTAAAATTACACATTAGTGAAAACTGGCCAGTCTTGAATTCATATCTCAGTATTTGACAATATGAAGCTATCACAAATCACCACGTCATCTAATAAAACCCATATGACTCATTGGACAACTGTTATTATGAAATTCACATAATTTTGAGAAACTTAAGTAGTATTGGGGATTTACATTAATCAATACATAATATGTTAATAAGAAAACAGACGACAAAAGGACTCTACATATACACACACATGTTCTTTCTATCTCTTTGATTAATGAAAGGGTCTTTATGTGTAAAATTATATCTATTAAATAGAAGTCAGTGAGAAGATATATTATCTCAGGGCAGACTTTGTTAAATTAGCAGCTGAGCAAGACTCAAGGGTATTTCACATTTACAGTACTGTCTTAAACCCTTATTCATCACTTCCTTTTCTAAAGGCCTAGGATTTTTTTGAACAAGTTTGTAATCCATTTGGAATACATAAAAACTAAAATTAAATTTCTGAAAAAATAAAAAAGTGGATACACAGTGTTTCAACCTAGTAAGCTGTGGTGGAAAAATTGTAAGAGCCAGGGAAACAGAGAATTTGAAAGATTGTGTCTCCTAAGAATGTCAAAAGCTATACACATAAACCTTCACCAACATTATTGCCTAAATACAAGCTGAACAAGGATGATACCAATAGACATACTAACATGGATGGAGAAAGCTCAGAAGACCTCAATTCTAGACAAAGGTCATTCAGGAATACTGAAATCTGAAGAAAGAGTCTTCCCCAGGAAATATTATACCAATTGGTTATCCAATACTAATTGATCATCCCTGACAACATATATATATATATATATATAATTATATAGATTGAACAGGCTGTGTTTATATATTTAGACATATATACATGTATGTTATATGATGAAATGGAAGCCATGATTTTTTTTAAAGAGAAAGGAGAGGCTTGTGGAACAGCTTAGAGAGAAGAAAAGGAAGGGGGAAATGATGCAATTATATTATAATATCAAGACAATAGAAGCTGTTCAGGTATTTGTGAAGCAAAAATATCTAAAGTGTTTTTAAAGTTTCTTTAAAATGTGAAAGATTTTACAACTGAGAGTGTTCATTTGTTTTAATTTTCAACTTCATATTATATACTTTTCTGTCTGTTAGTATCTTTAATAAGGTTTAATTTTTGGAAAATATGTAACATTATGTCTAGAATTTTTAAATTCAAAGAAATGAAGCATTTCTTTCCATATTTTCTGTCAGTGATATGTGGAGTACTTTCCATGTTAGAAAGCAATAAAATCCCTCATCCTTGGCTTTGGCTGGTGTTAGGATGCACTTACAACACTCCTAGAGAATCATTGCTGTGCTTCATACTAACCAAAGCCTAGGTGCCCTGTCAATTATTTCCACAAGGTGCATTTAAGAATGGAAGGATATTAAGAAAATTCTTTCATTCATTTTACACACAAATCAAAGACCTCCCTCTTCCCTCCTCCCACTCCCAGGTTCCCCCTCCCAACCTACCCCCCTACTCCCCCCACCCCCAGAAGAAGGCAAGGCCTCCCATGGGGAGGCACATCCAGTAGAGGCTAGTACAAGCCCTTCCCCCTGTCTCAAGGCTGCATGAGGTGCCAATTTAAAAAAAAAAAAAAAGAATGGAAGGATAAGTATTATTGGAGGAAACAGCAAAAATAATGCCTGCAGTATTTTTCTAAACATCAAGTGTAACCATGAGAGGTTACCTCAGGGATACTCAAGTACTTAAGCATGTCTTAGAGTTTTAACAACACATGAATATTTTCAGTACTTTTATTTAAAAGTGAGATATTTAGCTTAGATTATTTTAGTTTTCTGTGAGTATCTAGATGTAATCTTACACAGTTGGAAACTAATAGTATTCCCTCACAAGAATGAAAAATATCCAGCACCACTTGTATAAGTCAATTATTCTACAAGTCTGGACTATCCAAATTACCAGAGTTAAACTGTCTTTTCTAAAGGAAAATGTAGCCAAAACATTTTTGAAGCACAAGTAATTATAGCTATTAATGGTAAGCAATAGATAATAAAGGAATAGATAAAAATAAACACAGAGATAATTTTCTTATCCTGTCCATGTAAATTTATATCTTCCTAGCTCATTCATCTTAACTAATCAATATAACCAATCATCTATCCATAGATCTATGGATACAGCTTTATATTAACTTTACAATATATGTATGTACAAAGAAAGGTAATCAGCAGTCATCAAACATAGCGGGGCGGGGGGGGGGGGGGAACAACAAAAAGGCAAACATTTACTTATTTTTTGACCAATTAATGAATAAGCCTAAATAACTGTAAGTTCGGCTCCTTAGCAGCTCTTAGATTTGCAGATATTCAGATAATAGAATGGACAAAATTTCTGGGAATCATTGGATCAACTTGAACCTGGAAGTCGAGGCTAACACCATTGGATCTTCTTTTTCCCTACATCCATGTGGGGCCTCTCCAAACAGTAGGCCAAAGTGGACATCAGTTTTTTTCTACCAGAAGCCAATCAATGGATTTTTTTTCATGTTTAGTAAATCTCTGTATCCCTTCCTACCATGATCAGACCTCTAAAGCATCACTCTGTTTAGCATTTGACTGTAGAAATTTAGGATTCATCTGAATGATTATTTTGATAATTAGGAGAGTTGCATTTGTTTTACTAACTTCAAGACCTATCAGTAACAAACCAAGCAAATTATAGGACTCTCAGTCCAGTTTTGTTTGATGATGTGATACTATTTCTTTCATTTACCCCCTTAGTTCTCCTTTTTTATTCTCAGCATACAGCAAAGAAATTCTGGGGTAATGTCCTAGTAACACATCTTCAAATTCTCTCCTCTACACACATATAAATTTTTTTTTAGTTTTTTTTCTTTATTAAGAAATTTTCTCCTCACTCCACATACTATCCACAGATCCCCTCTCCTCCCTCCTCCCACCTCCCTGCCCTCTTTCCAAAGCCACCCCGCATCCCACATCCCCCAAATTGAGGTCTCCCATGGGGAGTCAGCAGAGCCCAGCACACTGAGCCTAGGCAGGTCCAAGGCCCTTTCCACTGCACCAAGGCTGTGCAAGCACACATAAAAATTATTGTTGACCATAACATCTGTTTTTGTCTAAGTCTTAAGAGATGTCTATGTTTTTCTCCAAACAGCTTCAAAACCAGTGGACTCAAAATTATGCAGTGGCCCTGTTCCTAATACCACACAGCTGTGCCACCTTCCTTGTCCAGTGGAATGTGAGGTTTCACCCTGGTCTGCCTGGGGACCTTGTACTTACGAGAACTGTAATGACCAACAAGGGAGAAAAGGTATGTAATGGTGACATTACCTGTTTCAAACAACCACTAATGGAGGCGAATTAGAATCTATATTTTATATGATGTTTCATGTTCCTTGTCTGGCTTGATATATTGTAGGTCTTGGATATTCTGTCACAACTTCCATAAGTTCATATGAACAGTTGTCACATTGTGTTTGAAAAAACTTGTTTCCTTGTAGTCATTCTGGCCCCTCACAATGATCCATGAGCTGCTGAGAAGAGGGTGTAACTCTCTTATTTTTTGTACTTTTGAAAATTAGAGATTTGTTATTCTCTGGTTGTAATGATAAGTCATTAGGAGTTGTTTTAATCCTATGTCCATTTATCAGAACAATGTTTTCAGGTTCTGCTCTAGGGCCTATGTCCTACATAGCTACAGATTCTTAGCCCTGGTAACTTGCCAAATATGGGTTTCATTTTGTGAAGTGGGCCTGAAATGCAATTGGAATGTAGTTGAATACTTCCATAATATTTATGCCACTATTGAACCAGTGGACATGTCTTGTTTGGCCAGTTATTAGTTTAGCTTTCAAGGTTCAAAGCTGGATAAGACAGGTGATTACTATTTCTCTTTGGGATCTGTGCACAGCACCTTCAAGCACTATGGAAGTTTGAGTAGGTCTAAAGCTTCCAGGTTGATTCAAGATTAGATTCTCCTTTTCTACAACTCACTTACATAAGGTCTTACCACCAAGTTCTGGATGATAGCCAAGAGCACTGGCAATAGCCTGTAATGTTTGAGAATCTATGGGACAAAGTGACCAACAACCTAAGTGAAAACCCATTCCTATGTCTGGGCATTTTGTGCTGGCATGTGATGTGTAGCTGGAGTATCCCTCTGTTATGGGATCACTTCATTTAAACTCTTTCATATATGTATATGCATATGCCTTAAGAGAATTCTCCACTACTCGGTTTCCCTAAGACCTTTTCTAAAGATCTTGTGTTTGTTAATCTATTTCTCCTCTATCCTGCTCTTCCATGCCCTCACATTTAATCCTTCATTCTAAGTGAGATAACTCAGACCCAGAAAGACAAATGTGACATGTTTCCTTCATTTGTGATGTTAGCTTGGAACCTTTAAATATGTGTATTTAGTTCAGAATATTATAATATTGGAAAATTAGTAAGGGACCTTAGCCAGTAGAAGGGAGCTTTAAGTGGGGGGAGAATGCAATGGTATAAAGGGGCAGAGGGAAATAATTGAGCTAAAAGCTATTTTGATTCTTCTTGCTCCTTCCTTCCTTCCCTTCTTCCTCCCTCCCTCCCTCTCCTTCCCTCCACCTCTTCCTTCTTTTCTTCCTTCTATCAATAAATGACTGGTGTTCTCACATTATGCTTCAATTTTGTAATGTTTACACTGGTTATTGAACTCACTCAGGACTCTTACCTTCGACCCTCATCCAGCATTCATTCCGGGATTTAAATCATCTTTCTGAAATATCAGAACTCTGGCATTAACAATAAATGTATTTCCTTCCCCCAATGACTCAGGATTCAAACTAAGGAAGCGGCGCATTACGAATGAGCCTACTGGAGGTTCTGGGGCAACTGGAAACTGCCCTCACTTACTGGAAGCCATTCCCTGTGAAGAGCCAGCCTGCTATGACTGGAAAGCAGTGAGACTTGGAGACTGTGAACCAGATAATGGAAAAGACTGTGGGCCCGGCACTCAAGTTCAAGAGGTTGTATGCATCAACAGTGATGGTAAGACATAGCTTTGTCACAGTTTATTGAAAAGCTACTCAGCCTGGAGGATGTGATTTTACATTATGTTAAAATCAGATCAGTCTCTCTCTCTCTCTCTCTCTCTCTCTCTCTCTCTCTCTCTCTCTCTCTCTCTCTTTCTCTCATTGTTGCTAAGTACAGATATTCCATTAACTACCCAGACTATTAACTTTATTTTGCAATTTCATTAATAATATTTTGATATATTTGTTATACAAGTTTCATAAGTACATTTTTCTTTGCATTTTACCCTCTGTTAGTAATCTTTCTCTCTCTCTTTCTTCCTTCCTCCTCCTGTTAGTGTCCTTTGCTCACTTACATTGTTTCCTGTTCTCAGGTCATACAGACATACAAGATTTTATTGATCTATATAAAAGTTTACAATCCACAAATGAGACAAAACTTGTGATATTTGTCTTTCTAAAACTGACATCATTCACATAACACAATTATCCCTCAGTTGTATACATTTACATTTAAACAATATAATTCCATTATTTTATAGATGAAATATTCCATTTTGTATCTACCACATCTTCTCTACTCATTCCACTATCAATGGACACAGTACATTTAACTTTGAGAGTAGAATAGATGAGGTTGGAGAAGATAAATTAACAGCAGCAGAAGAATATTTCAAAGAACAAACTTAAAAATAACAAGGAAAGGCAAAATTTTCTAAATAATATTGTTTCATTTGCTTGCTTACTAAATGTAAATAAATAAGGATAGTTGGCATGATCCTAGAACTCCTTTATTCCCACCTGATCTGCTTAAGATCAAGTTTAATTTCTGACCCCACATGTCACAAAGCCTATCACAGCAGAGTGTGTCTAAATCAGCATCTCCTTCCATAGATGTAGCTCAGCCAGTTGCTGTCCACAAAGTTCTTTTCATCAACCAGAGTAGGACTTTGGGTTTTACAACTAGTTTTTGTTTAGTAAAATATTATGTCCTGATGTGATATCTGACATAAGACATTTCCAGTCTTTCTAGGAATGATGCTCCTCTTTGGGTACATTCACTCAATAATTCTTTTTTTTTTTTTTTTTGGTTTTTTCGAGACAGGGTTTCCCTGTGTAGCTTTGCGCCTTTCCTGGAGCTCACTTGGTAGCCCAGGCTGGCCTCGAACTCACAGAGATCCGCCTGGCTCTGCCTCCCGAGTGCTGGGATTAAAGGCGTGCGCCACCACGCCCGGCTTCACTCAATAATTCTTAAGCCACACTTTGGAATCATAGGGTTCCCTCTCAAAGTCACAGTTTAAGCCCTCTAGACAGACCCTCAGTCATCTCTGAGGGTCCTGCTCACTCTCAAATCCTGTGACTCTGCATCTCAGCGAAGTGTGAGCATTGAACCCCAGAGTCCCATGGTCTGACAGTTTATGCTGTCTGCAGCATATGCAGAAGCATCCTGGTGCCCCCTGAGCGGCACTGCAACATCTGGCAGCCGTCATAATTCCTTCCATCCTATTTTCTTCCAGCAAGCAGAATTGTTTCCTCCTGTGGCTCAGTCACTGCTCAGAAGTAAGAAGAATTCTCTCTGAGGTGGGAAACAGACATTGCTATCACTGAGATACTAGCCTTTTCACCTTTTAAACACAATCTGTCATTCTGTCCAGTGTCTACAGTAGCCACACAGGGCAACACCAGGTAGAATCTGAGCTGGTGCTTGATATTGAACCATGGAGAAGGAGATTATTGCTCCAGATCTTTCATGATGAGTTTATGTCCTCTGCTTTGTTTTATGAAGTACAATGAGGTGTGATGAATCCTATCGTTAGCGTTCCCCTGTTCTGCTCCAAAGAAGAAAGGAAGGGAGATGAAGACTGGCATCCTAAGCCTGGAACACTGGAAAGCAAAACAAAAGAAAGAGTTCATCTTTTCCTCACTTTGAACATGACTGAGAACTCATGCTTAAAACCCTAGTTTGAATTGAGTGTACTTTATAGTCTTGGGTACTGAAAATCAACCAGTGATATTCAACTCTCTTTTTGATGCTACTTCTTAATTTCATTTCTCAGTTCAAATAACTTTTCCTGGTCTTCTAAAATTCTAGGAAGGCATTCAAGTCACAAGTATTGAAAAATTAGTACTTTAATGAAGCAAAAAGTCCCAACAGAAGGGACTTAAATATCTGCCCCCGTTAGCCAACCTCAAGATAATCAGACCTATATTGTTTGATGCAAATATCTTAATGAATATCATGCAAATTGAAAATAGTTTATATAGGGGAAGAACCACCTCTTTAAATTATATCAGTGATTAACTTTAATTTTGTCAACTGAAAGTTTTAGTAACACAAGTAATCATATCTTTTCCTTTTCATGGAATATTTTTAAAAAGCAGAGATGTGTTAGGTAAGTCCAATTGTATTACAGAATACTGTTTGTTCTGACCAAAACACAAATTGATATTTCATAGTATGTGTGAGTCAATTTCCCTGTGTCTACATCACTGAAAAAAATTAATTTCAGCTAAGAGGTATGCATATATGCATATATTGTCCAATTGCTACTGTTTTCCCTTGCTAGGACATCTCTTCCATCAGTACATTGACCTTGTACACACCATAGCCAATACTAATTTGTCAAAGGTATGACTTGGGCTCAGCTACAGAGGTGTGCAAAGTCAAGCAAATCTTTAGTATAAACCCAAGAGTTTGCTCAAATTTATACATGACTGATTCATAGCTGTGCTGAAAGTGTGTGAGCAAGACTAGAGACCTGTAAATTCTGCTCCCATATCATCCTGTGGTCACCTGGTAAGTGTTTAGCAGCTGTACCAAATGTTGCTTTATAATTAAATTGGGTCCAGGGAATTAACATTGATTAGTTGTGCAGACTCTACCCTCAGGCTAGAGCTGCAGCCATAGATTTTGTTTTATAATTAAGTTAAAGTTTGGCTAGGGACATGAAGAATTAGAGACAATGAATCTGGAAAATATTAAAAATAATTTTCTGGTCCCACATTCCTCACAAATTTCACAACTTTAGTAATGACACAAAAACCTCTGAAGTCTCTATTTACTTTGTTCTGAAATGTTCTTGTATAGGCTTCCAGAGACCATTAGTGCTTCTGCTGTTGTTCATTTCTCCCATTGTCTTGTGTGGAACATGGTTAGTAAAGGTGGTGAGAAGGGCCAAGGAAGCTTTATGCAGATTTTCTTGCAAATGAGGGCATGTAACAGAACTGCACAGGGAAGAGAGTACAAGACAATCTGAGAAGAGATAAACATCTACTGTGTAGTCAAAACTGAAGATCCTGACTAAAGCCAATGCCAGATCTCTAGCACAATTGGGCCCTACTTCCTGGGTAGGGAAAGGCACAATCCTATGGGATCTTATACCTTTGAGAATATCCAATTTCCTCCTTAGTTTCCTTGGTATGTTTATATTTTCCTTAAAGGTATAAACTTTGTGAGCTAAGAGTGTTTTGTTTCCAAATTGTTGGTTAGAGGCAGAACAAAGACTACAAAACTGTGTAGGGGTGTGGTGGTCTGTTTATATCTGTGCTGCAGTTCTTGGGAGCCCGAAAGGAGAGCATGAAGAGGTCAAGCAGGCTTGAACTATTTAGCAAGTTCCAAACTAGCCTGAGATATGAGAACTGTCTCAAAATAACAAATAAAATAATTAGGAGTTTGGGGAATCTGAAATATTATAGACTGAACCTATAAACAAAATATTATTTCTTTATATTCCTCATGAAAAATGAAATAAATCATGACATCAATGTTCTCATACAAAGCTCTGTTTCAGAATATTGACATAATTCTATATGAATGCCCTACACTCAGTGTCCTTGCTTAATCTTTTATAAACAGCTAAAACTCAGCAGCAGTTTCAAATGTTGATAGCTTTGTTCTGTGTTTCTTACTTTACTCTTGTTTGTAAATGATATTTGATTAATGATACTAATATGTACAGTTCACTCTCATACCTGATTCATAATTTTATAAAGAGAGAAAGTATATTTGTGAGTCTGGGCAGGGGCTTTGTTGCTGGGGCACATCTCAGCCTCTAAAAAATATTGTAATTTAGTCAGTATGATTCCTCACTCCACAGCCATTACAGGTGGAGTTGTGGGCACAAGGAGGAATCACTTGCTAGGACTTGGCAATGTTTATTTTATCATTCTTGAATGGAATAGCTATTACACACAAAGACTCAGTGCCATAGTACTTTGGCTTAATTTTCAAAATGCAGAAGAAAGCCTACTTCATGGTTTGGATATGAAATGTCACCCAGAGGTTCATGGGCTTGAGCACTTCATCTCCAGCTGATGGACCTGTTTAGGGAGATTGTGAACTGTGTAGGAGCAAAGCTGGAGGAAGAGGATCACTGGGGACCAGCCTTGAGGTTTCTTGTCAGGCCCTACCTCCTATCCTATCTCAACTTCCTCTCCTTCAAAGATGTAAGGTGATGAGGAGTCTCATCTGCATTCTCCTACCACTATACCTTCCCTTCCTCACCATGAGATAATCAACACCATCAAACTGTGAACCAAAATAAATTCTCCCCCTTAAATTACTTCTTATCAGGTGTCTAGCTACAGGATGGAAAAAAGAAGGAAAATATGTATACAGTTTATGAATGAAGGTAATTAAGTATAAAAATGGTGACTAATCTGGTTTAGAGCAACATTATGTTGAGATTAGCATATGGCAAATTGCAAAAACACCCAAGGAAAATAATTCAAGAGAAGTATTCATTTTGGTTCACCATTTCAGAGCTATCAGGTCTTCATGGTAGAAAGGACATAGTAGAGAAGAGCATCTCACATCATGGTGCCAGGAAACAGAAAGAGAGTACTTTACTAGTTTACTTTTTATGTTTTCCTTTTCAATCCATCTAGACCTCAGCCTATAAGATGGTATTCTCCAAACCCATGATGACTCTTCTCTACTAGGTCCTCTCTGAAAATCCACTCTCACACATATAAATGTTCTGTTTATCTCCTTAAGGCACCTCATTCCTTTTAAGT